ATATATATATATAGTATGACGAACTTTCTTCATCCCGTTAACGTGACCAAGACATGGGAGGGAAGAAATAAATCTTTCTTGTGTTGTGTACACATTGCACGACCGCTGCAGGCTTCCAGATTAATGGAGTGGTGCTGGAAGGATTTGTTGCGGGGGAAAAAAAAAAATAAAAAAATAAAAACACGTCTTGGAGTATTTTAGGTCGCAGACATGAAACAGAATAAACGATTTAGGGGATAAAGCAAGTCTTCACCTTGAACCCCAGAGCCATATTTACAGTGTCAACTGCAGGATTTACGTGACGCAGCAAAGAGACACAACTGCAAACAACACACGCTCCACTGTGGAGTAATTTTGTGCCGATATGTTGCGCCACCACGTTATTGTCGATGCGGTTGTATGTTGGAGTACAAAAACTTGAGAGTGCCAGATGTGAAGGCACAAAGTACACAGATTATTTATTTGTTTGTTTGTTTTTATTCGAAGTTGAAAGCTCACTTACCCAATCTCTGCAGACCAAACTGCCCAAAGCCTTTACCACGGACAAATCCTTGGTACACAAAGGAGTTGGCTGAAGAGATGTAGGACACCTACCGAGGGAGAAGGCAAAGGAAGACAGAAACATCCAATCACATCCAAGTGCCGCAAAAAAAAAAAAAAAAAAATGTGCACCATCAAAGTGTCAGCTGCCGGTGCAGGCGGAAGATGAAACATGTCGAAAAGGGGGGGTGGTATGTAACAGAAAGTTGTATAGCAACACTCGGCCTTGATTCAATTCACTGCGTGATAAGAGGAACTTTGCGAATCATGAAACACGGCATCTGATACTTCATGCTTGATCATGATTCAATAAACATTTTAACTGAAAAAAAAAATTCGAGGTGGGCCCTCCATCTGCCCCGAGCGTGTGTGTTGGGTTGACTGAACTTGACCCCGAATGTGTGCTTACGTGTCCATCGAGAGCCCAGTTGTCGATTTTGAACTTGTTGACAAATATCTCCACAGGGCCTCGGATCTGGTGAACCTGAAGCAGCAGCTGGGCTTCATCTCTTCTATATGTACCTGGAAGGATAGCCGAGACGAAAATGGATTGCAGAAGAATCGACGCTCATTTCATCCTTGAAAGAGTCAGAGAGATGCGGAATGCACATTTCACAGCACCAAGCATTCGCCTAGGACAGTTAAAACGAAAGAGGGCGGGGGGGGTCAGAATTCCATGCCGCAGATTGGACATTAATGAACAGATAATGCGTGCGAAATATTGCACAGTCAGCATTAACAGCACCCTGCCAATATTTCCCAGCAACACTTGAGCTCTTCAATAACGGCACCAATTTCAAATGCATGATTTTGTGTGTCGTGACAATATCAGGTCGCGAGAAGTGATGAGACCTTGCTTTTTGCTCATGCAAAAATTTGCATTTTAACGTTCACAGCTGCATAGTAAGTATGCCACGGGGAAAATGTAAAATGATTTCTGTTCCGCGACTGCAGCGATAATCTAGATCACGGGGGGAGTGTAGGGGCTGCAATGATTTCTTGCTCTTTGTCTTCACGTGAAATAATCCGATCCGTCTGTTAAGATACATTCCGGCGAGGGGAGTCAACGAGTTCTAATTCAACGCGAAAGCCAAGTTGATTTCTGGAGTACCAACCAGCGAGTTTGAGCTCCACGCCGCTGTGGTCAAGTAGTGTTCCATTCACCCGGTTGCTAAAAGACTCAAAGGCAGTGATGCTGAGCATAGCTGGCTGCTTCTTCCCCAAATACTCATAGGATCCCCTCCAGAGTGAATTCTTTGCAAATACGCCAGCAGGTACTGAAACATGGACGGAGGGGGGGGGAAGAAGTGGAACAGTTATTTTTTTTCATGTCCCGGGATGGGATGTCCAGCTATTCAAAGATATGATCAGATTGCGACTTTACACACAGTTAGATGGAGGGAGGAAATAATGTGTTTGCTCCAGAAAAAAAAAAAAAAAAACAAAAGAAAATGACTTATCTTAAAAGCCAGAACACGTCTTACCAGGTAATTTGGAAGGAGGCTCCTGCACCGTTCCGACGGGGCTCTTACCACTCGGACGGTTATCAGCTGGGGAGCGTAACAACATAATATCAAGTGAATGAGATGTTTTTGTAAGCAGGGCATGCGCGCACGTGCCAGGATAATCCGACTTTGAACGCATAAACTCACAAAAGAGACCAAATTAACGAACCCCAGCGGCGCATTCAGTGATCAACCAAAGCCTGCGACTGGACCCGACTAAAGCCTCCAAGTCGAGGCCCTGCCGACCTACGGCACCTTTAGTCACATAGTTTTGCGGCTCCGGGAGACACTTCAATAAAAAAGTCAACATAAGCCCTCGCACTGTCAAACAGGGAGGGCGTGAAAACATACTAAGACAGGTATAGCGACGGTAGTTTATGAGCAATAATACTGAAAAATAATAATAATGAAAACCGAAATGGTGAATTAGAGTTTAATGCTCTCTCTCAAAAATTCAGTCCTCTGTAGTCGTTGCACGTTTGGTATAATGCATTTAAGAACAACTCTCTAATTTCACGTCACAGGGTCTTTAATTGGAAGTAGCAATCATCCAGACAGGATTATTCCAACCAAGTGTCAATGGCTCTTATTTTTACTCGAATGCATTTAGGCAAACACTTAGACAGTCAATTTGTCCGTGAGAACTTGTTAACACTGCCTCGCTACTTATGTATAAAAGATACTCCTGCGAGGCAAATCAATGGTAAACATTGTACTTATCAGGTTATGTCCTCTCGTTAATGTTGCTAAGCTTGCTTTATGTGCGCGTGTGTGCAGAATTTAATTGTGTGATGGATGGACCTTCCACCCGTGGCATGTGTCTGACTTTAAGCGGCTGTTAACTGAGGTATTTATCAACATTAGGCGAATCTGCTGTTTCCACCTCGAACACTGCCTCCGTCGAAAACGGTTCGACGCGCGGTATGTATCTGTGACGGGTCGTGCGGTGTGTTTCTATCACTTTGGTTGCAAGTTAAGAGCGCAGGTGATGAAAGCTTTGCACATTTAAATTGAAATGAGAAATGTTCCCTAATCATCAGATTATTTCTACCTGCACAGAGAGGCGGCTTTCCAGTCCAGCTCCCATCGGACTTGCAGGTCCTGTGCTCTGATCCTCCGGCCAAGTAAAATCCGGGCTGGCACGTATAGATCAGTGTGTAGCCAAGGGATGGCAGTTCAATGGCCCGCACGTCCGATTGGGCTGGCAGCTCCGGCTGGCTGCAGTGGTGAGCTGCAGACATAAAACGGGGACGGGGTTGGGCGAACGACGGAGATAAGGCATTTGAGGCAGCCAGGAAGAAGCGAGTGAGGTCCTCAGAAGTGAGAGGCATGAATGCGAATGAACTGATGATTTTTCGAATGTGCTTACCGATGCACTCCGGCTGAAATCCACTCCAAGTGAGGTTGGGCAGACATGTGCGAGAAATGGATCCCTGCAGTAGGTAACCTTTTCTGCAGCTGAAGAACACCGTGCTGCTGATCTGGAAGCCACGCGCAAGGATGTGAAAACACCATCGACATTAATCCCTCGCTATCACACGGTTCATCTTTCACGGCTTGGCTGTTTCACACATTTTTTTTCGAGCTGTTTTATTTTTTCTTTTTTACATTGCATTGTGTTCTGAATCCTGCTGGGCTAATGTCAACGGTCGCCGCGCCTCATCCCTGTACATTTTGTACAGACACTATGTCCGTGTCTTATGTATATGATACCTGGTAGCCTTGACTGTTGTTCTGATTCCCGAAGAGGGGGGTACCTGGCTCCGTGCAGGTGGTGTGAGTGGGATCTGTAACAAATATAAAGTTGGCCTGATTTCATATTCATATGAGCAATCAAGTGTTTCTTCAGAACTGAGCAGAATCGTCAGTCCTTTTGGGCGATGCTGTCTGCTGTGTTTGATTGCTCACGGAGTTTGCAATCTTGTTTTAATGGAACAGCTCAAGTGCCATTTATTTATTTATTTATTTTTTTAATTGGGTCATTTTGTATGAAACAACCTTAAAAAAAAGGGTAATTTTGCGCACAAGAACCCCCAAAATTTAAAGTTGGCTCAAATAGACCGAAATTGTTTTGTTTTTTGACCCAGCTGTTTATAGCTGTTGGGCTTCTACATAGAAGTACGCTTACTCTTAACACAGTCACATCCTCCGTTATTATTAGAGTGTGCAACTATATACATTGTTATTTTCACATCCCCTTTCAAAAAGATTTTTTTTTTTCCCAATTGAGTTGGACTGGTTATAAGTTACAAAATGGTGGAGAAAGTTTTGAAATTTATCTTGGTGGAAGGATTGCTATCAGGCTCCTGCAGAGCTTGCTGATGAGCCGATCGTTAGAATCCGGTCGGTGCGTTGGAGGAGGGAATACATCGACCACACGCAGGATAGGGAATTTCAAGGACTGGAGCTTGACACCTGCGCTCAAGGCTAAACTGAGCTGAAAACAACTGTCCCTACCTAAAATGTCAACCTACCTATACAAGAGGGCTGCGTTCCGCTCCAGGTGCCATCATATTGGCAATACCTCCTGGTAGAGCCCACCAGGATAAGAGGGGGGAAGCATGAAAAGGAGACCGAGGAAAGGTAGGTAAAACCTCGGTCTTCCCTCCTCCCTTGGGCAGGCAAGCCTGGGTCTCCACAGAACACAGCTGCAAAAACACCCAAACGACCGAATGAGACACCAAAGCGTCTTGGGATTTAAATGAATATACTTTCCCCAAAGGGAGTGCATCGTGCCACTTACGGAAGCACTGCGGTTTCTCTCCACTCCAATTGCCACTGCCCTGGCAAGTTAACACGGTGGGCAATGACAGCTGGTAACCTTGGTTACAGGAGTAGCTGATGCTGGAGCCCCAGTTAAAGTCTGTACCAACGACCTGACCGTTAGGAATGATTGGCGGAGGACCGCAGACAATTGCTGTAAGTGGAAGAAACGGATTCGATGAACTGATGTTTTATATATAATAGACTCTACACTCGTTCCCATTGACTACGTCAACATTGGGTGAGGCGTCCGTACCTTTGCACAAAGGCTTGGTGCCGTTCCAGGTGCGAGCCTTGGTGCAGATGAGGGTGGAGGCGCGGTGAGCATCCATGGTGAAACCGGGAGAACACTGGAAACTAACGGTATGATTGTAGGTAAAATCATTCCCCAACCTCACTCCGTTCGCTGGAACTCCAGGGTCACCACAGTTGATGACTGTACGGATGCACAAAAAAATTCCATCAAGAAACAATTACATACATGGCAAAACACAAAATTATAGATTTACTCATGGTATAAGGGCACTTCATTACCGGAGCACTCGGGCATGTTGCCGGTCCAGGTGCCATTGATGGTACAATGTCGGGTGAGCAAGCCAGTCGAGTAGAAGCCGTCCCTGCAGGCGTAAGTGATTGATCTGGAAAAGGTCAGGCCGTCGTGGATCAGGATCTGGGCGTTTCGTGGGGTTCCAGGGTTTCCACAGGATATGACTAAGAGCAGAAAAGACGGGAGACATACGTTAGTTTCAGGTTCTTATCGAAGATCCGAACCCTAACCCGAGTTTAATTACACCGCTAGGTTGAAATCAGTCGACTGCCATATGCGACATTATTCAAAATTTAATCCACAAATGTGAATTGCAAGTGGACTTTATTAGAAAATGGGACGTGTGTCCTGAACTTTGACTATCAGACACGAACGGAGGTTCTTGGCATCACAGACACCAGCTTGCGTCAGACAGCCAGGGCCCCGAGGGTCCCGGTCCTCCATAATGACCAGATGTGGTCTGGCCTTTGAAGCTGGTGCCATGTAATGACAGGTGGGTGACGCCCGGCTCACATGTGCACACCGAAAAGGGACTGAGCCAGCGGGAGGCACGGTAGAGCGGTGGTGGCAGAAGGTGGGATGTGTTTGTTGTCGAAAGAGAAAATAGTGCATGTCAAGGAAGCGAAATAGAGCCCTAACCCAAGTTTGAAGCCCTGCCTCATAACCCTTGCTTTAAACCATTCTTTGAAACCAACAAATTGCTTATTACCAAGACAGGCACTGACCTGTTTTCTAAACTGGAGTTCAACATTTTTCATGATCATGCAACGTAATCAGAGAGGAAATACGACTTCTATTTTGCATACGGAATTCAGTGAATCCAATTTTCAACTTGGATAATCCCAACTGTCAGATGCTGTGCTCATTAATGACGACTTCTCCATCGGACACGTTCATTTAATTTGACGCCACTCTGTCGTGCAGAAGCTGCAATTCAAGCCCCCCCCCCCCCCGCCCCCCATCAGTGTCCTCCAGCTATTCGTTTCAAATCCCGAGGCATTTCCTAGCCGGTTGGGCTGTGTAATCCCTCGATCGCCTTTTGGGTCTGCCCCTTGCTCTCAAATCAGTTATGTGTCCAGAATATCTTGGCAGCGCATGCAGGAATGCATCCAGAGCAGATTGGTTATCGACCTCCAGTGTCTGCTTTGGGTGCAAAAAGCAAGTTTTGCTCCATGCTCACAGTAACACCTTTTTTTTTTTTCTTTTAAGTGATATTAGCATTCCAAATGAACTTTTAGGTTCAGCACACAGGCCGCTCGCGTCAACAACCGGTCAGATATGTCGCCTGTAATGAACTGCAATCCTAATGCTAACTCCAGACCTGGCTTTGACAAACAACCAATGAGTCTTTCGTGTTGCCATTGAAGAGACAGTCAATTGAAAATCTGTATTTCATACCATGGCACTCAGGTTGGGTTCCCAGCCAAGTGCCGTTAGTCAGGCAAGTACGTTCTGGAGAACCTTTCAGCGTGTAACCCGGCTCACAGCTGAAGCGCACCGTGCTGCCCGCAGTGAATTCATCCCCCAAGCGGATGCCATGCACAGGAACACCCGGATCCCCACAAAGCCCTGCCGATTCACCTAGGAAAGCAGAAAACAGAACAAAAAACAAACCTGAAGCAAGGATGAAAAAGTGAAAAACCTCTGCAGAATTGTTTGTTATGATGGATATTTTGCTAGTCGAGAATAACATAATGCGAGCACTGGATCAAAGCCACAAGCCCTCCTTGTAAATAATCCATCAAACCAAAAGTGGACTTCTCCGCTGCCTCCATTAGCCATGCTTCCGAAATGAATTCGGCTTCAATACTGTCATTTGTTTAACATGCGGGCAACAACTTTGTGTCCCATTCATGTACATTCATGTAAAACGACTATCGATTTAGGAACACGGCCTATTGCTCCCGCATCCTGATTTCACAACGCTCAGATTTTGTGCTGTCTGAATGGCGCCACAAACATTACACAAATCTTCATAGCACTGTTGCATTTATTGCTTGCTTCGGGAAAAAGAGAAAGCATAAGGTTGCTCGTGTGGGTTCTTTGTGACGTAAACGCGTCAGCATGCAAAATCAATACCGCTCTGTACCCGTGTATTATAAGTCATCTTGACTGGACTTTATGGTTTCATCTATGTTGGCGTGTTGACATTTGTGGATTTCAAATTGTTCTTCAACGTGAGAGTTTACAAGTAAATGACATCAAGGAAAGTGCAGGAGCCAACATCTTTATGGAGCTTCATAAACAGGGCAAGATCTAGCTTTCCCGCTTGCTCCGGCTAATATGAGTGGAATAAAGCGGTTTTATGAGGGCCGCTCTTTTTGCCCTTGAGGCCTACCCCTAAAATTCCATATTTGGCGGCCAAGTACTGAAATGAAATATGTAGGGGTGAGCGACGACTCATATGGTATCAGTATCGGGACAATAGAGCCTTATGTCAAGGTATCGGACGACTCATGGTATCAGTATCGGGACAATAGAGCCTTATGTCAAGGTATCGGTTATTCGTCGCGATATCTGCCACCGATACTTGAAAGCAAAAAAATAATAATCTGACAGCAAGTCGCCAGTAGGGTCCGCTACACTACGGCCATTTCACACATCACATGCCTCAAAAAGACAGAAACGTCTCTGTTCAAACATATCTGTCAATGTGTGAATTGAAATGATATGCTCCATAAGAAATAGTGGTATCGGTACTTGGTATCTGTGAGTACCCAAGGGCAAATTCTCATACTCGTATCGGTCTAAAAAAAAAAAACATCCATGGAATGTTGTTATTTCTTGGCATTGAAGCTAACAATTTTAAGTTTGGACACTTTTGGTTCCAAAGTTGCTCCAGCAGAGTCGTCGGTACCAGAGCAATGTGGTGGTGAGCCGCTCCATTGCGCATCCAGCTGGCACATGCGCGTTGTGTTGCCGATGACGCTACACCGGGC